TTATACCCATCCCCAGGATTATATTCAAGCATCTAAGGGATGTATACATAGATCGAAGGATATTTAGAATAAAAACTTATCTAGAAAAGAAAAAAAAATTAGATGGTGAACAAACGATAGATTCAATGGTAAAAACGCTGGAAGATATTGTAAACAAGCAATATAATAAATTGTGATATCACTATCAAGCCAGCTAAAAGAGAAACAAGAACGAGCAAAAATGAATAAATCGAGCTTTAGATCTGGAAGTCAAAAGAAGCCGAAGAGGGTCTTCTCAGAACAGTCGTCACACCATTACTGGGTAAATAATGAAGTATACAGGACATAGATTCCTTGGACGAAAATCAAAGGATCTAATAAAAAATTCAAAACATCAACGAAGCTGATGTCAAAAAAATAGCCTCGATTAACTCTACAAAGAAAGAATAAACGGACATCTAAATAGGTTCCGAGAAGCACTGATAAACGAACTAAGGAAATGTCTAAGGGCTAAGTGATGTCTCATATAGAGCTGACACCTAGAGAAAGAGTACATATGACTTAAAGTGGAAACGACTTATAAACCTGCAATGGAATATGCAAAAGATTATTCGACACATACGAAAAATATTAAATCTTTATTACAATCATGGACACTTCATAGATATACTAAAACCTGTACAAATAGAGTCAATCATTTTGAATGTTACAAGGTTCCTTCCACAAGAGTGGATATAAGAAGGCAGTGAATAATAGATACTATCATACAAAATGAAGGGAACATCGTCATTATTGGCTACTTCCTAATAATTGACAACACTAGATACAACCTACTAAGAGTCACGGTACTTCCAGTAGATTACAATAACTTACATTATTTTGAAGTGATATATGAAGATAAAGGAAGGTTATAGAATTAAACAAAGAGGTTGGCATGTTCACCAATGGGAATCATAATATGATACTCAACCAAACTGTATCTTAAGTGAATTATATGATAGACTACCAATACCACTTGCAATATAATAGAATACACGATAAAGGAAGCCAGTTGGTTGAAAATGAGCACACCGAACCTGTGCATATGGCATATATAATATATATAATATTATATATATATAATTATATATATATAATAACATATATATACGATAGACGGCGAAAAGCTTAACCATCTCCGTTTCGCAGATGACATTCCTTATCACAGATAATTTAGGAGAAGCTACAGATATGTTAAACAAATTGGATTTTGCATGTTCGAAGGTGGCCTGAGAATGAACTTGACCAAAACTAAGTTTATGACAAATTTGGTCCCCAATAAAAATTTGACTATTCAAGGCAAAGTGGTAGAACTGGTGGAGAAATATACGTATTTTGGTCATGAAATAAGAATCAGCAGGGATAACCAAACATGTGAGATCCAAAGACGAATTACTTCATGGGCACCCTTTGGAAAACTGCGAGACACACTTAGGCCAACATACCAATCAGCCTCAAAAGAAAAGTGTTTGACCAATGCGTATTACAGTCATGACCTATGGGGCGAAAACTATGACTTTAACCAAGACCACGGCTTCGAAACTGAGAGTGGCACAGAGACGAATGGAACGTCCTATGCTGGGAGTGACGTTGAGGGACCGAATAAGAAACGAAGAATCTGCGAAGAAGACGATTATTATTGATGTTGTGAACGCATAGCGGAACTAAAATGGAACTGGGCAGGCCATGTAGCGAGAATGCACGATTCACGATGGACGAGCAAAATTACAAATTGGAGGCCAAGAGCAGACAAACGCAGTAGAGGAAGACCACCTACACTTGGGCCGACGACATCAGGCGTATCACTAAAAATTGGCAATAAAAAGCGCAAAATCGTGAGAATGGGAGGAGTTTAAGGGGGGCTTATGTCCAGCAGTGGACGTGGTAAAAGAGGCTCGAATGATGATGATGATGATGATATATATATATATATATATATATATATATAATGTGCAATGGTTCTCGATCTGAACATATAATCGATCAAACGAGTTTTATAAAACTGTCACCAAAATGCGTTACTCAGACTTGAAACATAACGTTACTCACATCTAGTAACGGATTGGAAACAGCAATTGGAAGCTATTTAAAGACTCCCGTCAGTCCCACTGAAGAGCTTATGCAGAGGCCAATTATAAGGCAGAACAACATTCCCAAACATAATATAGATATTCGGGAGATGAGTTGCCAAATGTTTTAGTTGAGACAGAGCAGTTTGACCAAGATATATCCGAACACACGTGGAAAACTATTGCTAACCATCAGTGGATTCCTCATTTAATCACGGGACTAGTCACTTTATTCATTGTTATGTTGATTGTAATTACTTGGAAGGTAGTCAGATATTTTCGAAACTCCAAGAGAGCTAGAAAACAAAGGCTTCAAGGTTCTTTCATCCAACCTCATCTAGCGCCTCGAAGACATACTTTATCACAACTAAAATTTAAGTAGTACTTTAAAGAAAGCCCCTCCTAGATCAGTTTCACTTACTGAGCTTAGATTTGAATTAGATAGTCTAGCTGAAACATAAATTCTAAATAACTAAATTATAGATAGCACTGCTCGGGTGAGATAATAATTCAAAAACCGAGTGAATTGGTGTTATGATTATTGTTATTGTTATTTTATATTTTATATGTGTTTAATATTTTCTATTGGTCGTCTGTTTGTTTTTTATATAATGGCCAATATGTTCAATTACAAATTAACCCCTTAATGTGTAATCTCACATTATTCTCAACTTCTTATTTTTTATAGTTTCACCGTGTATATGTGACATTGTGGGGCCATATCGTATAATATTTTTAATGGTTGTTCATTTACCTACAACTAAATAAATTGTCCAATAATGTGTTTTCTAATTGAACTTCCTAAGTGTCGCAATTAAGGCGTAAATAAAATTGTAATGTCAGCAAATAGTTTGTTGGTCTATGGTATGAACGAAGTAATAACCTAGGTGCTTAGGTATAAATTGCTTGTGAGATTATAAATTGGGGATTTGAGCTCATATGAGCACAGTCAATCATAAGAAGTTATTGTACCTAACGAACATCATATTGTGTAATTACCAGTAGCTGTCAATAAATCAACACTAGTACTCCACAACTTCAACCTTTTATTATACCTATCATTGTCGATCGACAAGAAGCGGACAAAGGGGCATTTACAAACCGATTCAATCCTCAAAACTACGTTCGAATCTTTCCACTACTTTGACAAAGATTTTTTCTATTCTCAAATATTTTAAGGGTTTTATCTGTTATTCATATATGTTTCACTGGATTATTTACCTTCAGGCGATTAATTGGTATTGTTACACAATGTTTAATAGTCTTCAATATTTCTGTGATGTACCATTACCAATAGGGGACATATATTTTTACACTTACTGGAGAAGATCACCGTCGTTCTTAGTTCAATTCCCGTTGTCTCTCTGCGTTTGTTGTGTGCTTTAAGTTTGAGTTTTACTTTTAGCTACAAGGAGAGTATAATCTGATTCATCATTCTGTGTAGTGTTGCCGACTTTTGTGTTAAAGTCATCACATACTAAGGTTACCTATTAATTTTGAATGTTGGTAATTGTTGTTTCCAATTTTTTGTAGAATTTCTCGACTGTTATGACATCTGCTTTACTAGTTTCCGCATAAACTTGTATGCTATTGAGTTAATGTAGTTTTGCTTTCCAGTTTAAGGAGAACTGTCCTATCGCTCACAGCTTTAAATTCAACAATAAACATTTGAGACAAGATAAATGTTGGTGAGACTACAAGGGCGTCAACTGTATAGTTCTGGGTTTCACTGTCAGAGAAGCAAACATAATTGCCATTATGTGTTCTAAAATGACCCTCTCCCAACCAATGACTTTCAACTAGTCCAAAAAAATTTTCAACGTTATGCCTTGCCAGCTCTCTTTCAATAATTGACAGATTACCTATGATTGTCTTTAGCCCATGATTTAGTTCCATGTACAGATATTTATTACCTTCCTGAGTTATAATTTCTGTGGACTAGTAGCTGAATTTTCCCACTCAAGGTAGTACTGGTCGTCATTCGGACTTCTTAACAACATCCGAGTCATTTTCCTAGACAGAACTTTCTTGAGAATAATAATGCAATGGATTTCGCTGTCCTATTGCATCGCAGTGTCGCAACCATTCTGCTGCTTGTAAAAATCCAATAATAACCCGGTCTATGATCATTTTCTATGTACCTTATCTTGGTACTGCCGGTCGCTGTTTCCTTCCGGTCGATGTGTAGGAGGGAAAGGATATATGAGGTTTAGATGGAGAACACGATTACCTCCTGTTTCCTCTTAGGAACGAGCTTAGGAGAGAAGTAGCTGACGTAGGGGCAAGGTTGCTAAGCCTTGAAGTAGCCTGTCCTTTATTGGAAACTGTAAAAGGGTACTACTCGTTACCCTACAGGTGGTAATTTTATTATGCAGACGAGTGTGTCTGAGTAGCAGACCATTAATACAATCTTCAGAGGATCTGACACCGTTTTATTACCAAAAGAAAGTCAGAATATTTTAATATGAACAAGTAAGTCTTTACAATTCGGTAACTAGGTGTTACAGAAGTTTTAATAAAAATAAAGACGTTGATCAGAGTTGACGGGTTTATTAAATGTATATACGAAAACAGAATATTGAAGATTACTACAAGAAACTATACGATGGTAAAACTTTATAAAACCTACTCCTTTTTATAAATGTAAAAGCTGGGTAATAAAAAAATATATAAAGACTAAGCTTGATAAATAAAGACGTAAAACACAGAAATAAATATCTATAAAACTAATAAGAAAAAATAAAAAACAAAATGGGAACAACTTTGACCAAAATTGTTGAAAATATCAATTGGCGAATTATCTAAATCTTATTTTTTTTGTTGAAAATTATTCAAATGTATATTATACTTTTAGTATTTTAGTGTTTTAAGATTTTATTGTTATGTTAATTATTAGCAATTATTTTTTTGTAGGGTCATGATACAACATCGTCTGCTATTAGTTTTGCTTTGTATTCATTGGCAAATAATCCAGAAGTTCAGGTATATGTATTTTTTTATTAAATATTGATACCAATTGTTTTAAATTTAAGGTTGTCATTCTTTAAATTATTTTTTAAACTTTTATATTTTAACAAACTTTACCTTTGATCTAGGTGAGTATAGAAAAGAGGAATTCAAGGAATAAGTATGTTCCTTGCAAACCGGTGCTCAGGTATTTTGAAGGATACAACGGTTAGTTTTGGAACATGGATAGGGTACACGTAAACTCATCACCAATTACCATAAATATAAGGTAATGGATTTTGGGAACAGCTATGACCTTGAAAATGTCACAAAGAATATAACTAAATATCTCTTTTCTTACTCATACTCTTTAAAGTCTTTTACAATATTTTAGAATCGAAGATATGTAATTATGTTATTAATGTATTGGATTTTGACAAGAGCTATGCATTATGCCTATTTAGTACACAAGTTTATGTGAAATGTTCAAGGTTATAGCTGTTCACAAAATCCATTACCTCTACTCTCGTACATAGTACAAACTAATCACCGCCATAAAAGTAGGATTTTCAAACAGATCCCAACAGATTGGTAAACTCATCACTGGCCTACCTGCACCCAGTGGCAGGTATAGACCATAGGTGCCATAGTCCCCTTGCAAACCGTTAAGATTTGGTAATTTGGCAGAATAAATATAAAATAGGTGTTTTCAATGCAAATGTAATTTATTGGTTTTTATTTGGAAATTCTGCAAAATTATATTGACATCTACCTAAAACAATACGAAAAGAAAAATGTCTCTTTATTTGCCCTTGTTTTCTTAACATGGATAGTGAGTTATCTATGTTGATAAAATTATATCAATAATTTTAAATTTCAATAATTGCGAAAGACTCTACAATCGAATAGCTTTTATGGGCAATTGCAATAAGAATAAGAAAATTAATATTTACAAAACTGTTAGATACGAACCTAAGTACGTATATAAAATTTGCATGTTACTTATGCATTATCCGTTTGAGAAAAGTACGGTTATAATGTTAAGTGCAAATCGGTGTAATATTGAAGATGGTTTCCTATTAAAAACTACCTAAATCATGCCACATGCAACATCTTATGTAGCCGAAAATAATTTTTGGTGGTAGACCTCTTAATTCTAGAGAACTTATCTATTTTTTTTTTAATTGACATAATTTCCATGTCTCGTGAACGCTGGCAGAGTGAAACACCCTGCATATTTAGAAGTTTAAATCTGAACACAAATGTACGTTAATTTTCTTCTTTAAAGTTTGTTAAGACATACATTCATTTCTGTTGCTAGAGATTTTTTATAAATATTCAAAGACTTGGAATTGGAAAATCATTTAGTATACATAACTAATTTCTGAATAGAATTGCAATAGTATTCTTATAATTTTTGCAACACCAGCTGAAGATCCAAATATTTTTTTGACAATCATAAATGATAAAATTAACCAAACATAAAAATCTGCTAAGAACTTTTTAAAAAATTTAAAAGTAAAGAGACTTTATTTTATAGAATAAAGTCCAGTTATCTGAAAATGTCCAGTATGCGTTTATTTTTCTATAAATATTTTAGTTGTGAAAAATATTCTACACTGCATCTTAGGACACAATTACGTAAGCGACCTCGAAAACTAAGCCATCAAGTGATCAGCAACTCCTGCAAGATGAAAGCTCGAAAAGACTTATCGGAGAGGCCATTAAAAATTAATCACCAAAAGATTGCAACACCTTCGTTCAAAGAACATATGACAACAACAAACATCTCTTGTATTCGGAAGAATATGAACAACGATCATTTTAGTTTTATGTCACTTGTACCCAAGACAATGGAAATATCAAGCAATCCAACAGATGAATCTAAAGACGGACCGCGATAAATGTTTTGTGTTGAATAACGATTTGTAATAAAATATTATTATTTTTGGCATTCTTGAGAATTTACTATTCTTGGCAAAAGCAGAGGCATATTACTTGGATGGTACATTTAAATACGCTCAAAAATTTTTCTTGCAATTATTTACCATTCATAGCTTATTAAACGGGCATCACTCAATTAATTCGTTGCTCCGAAGAAGTTGGTGTCGTTTTAAGCCCATTAACACTTGTGGCTGATTTCGTAATTGCCGTTCGACCACCTGTGATCCGAATTGGGTGTTTATTTCGCTTAATTTAAAGTTGGTTTCGCAAAATCCAAAAACATGGTTTTTTAACCACTTACAAGAGGGGAGACTTCAAAGGCAAGTGGCTGCACTACTTATTTGGTTGGCCATTTTTGGATCCAGAACGACCATTCTTATCCCAATATCCTGACTTTTGTATCTACACTTCTACAGTACGAAACAATGGTGTACATAAAGCTTCAGAGTTTACATGTAACTGTCCTCTTCTCACAGGATAATTTTTCTTCAAGTTGACTTTGACCGTTTATAAAAGCCAGGGACTGTAGAATAGCATTTTGATTCATCATGTCATAATAAATAATAAATGGATTTCTAATTAGTTGAGAACTATTTCTGATATAAACAGAAACAGCACATACTCATAAATATTTTCATTATAAGGTCACTATCGAAAACCTATGCAACTGAATTTTCAGATCTCAAAACCGTTTAGATTGGTTAATACGTCGAATAGGCCACACCGTAAAAAATCGATATTAATATCTATTTTAAAGAAAATGGTTTAAAATAACTTCTGAATTTAATAAATTCCCACATAAGCGGGAGCGTAAGATATGACTGGCAATCTTCCGCATTAGAAACCAGCGCCTTGGGGCAAAAATGCTGGTGATGAGTTTTCCTATATGCGGTGATGAGTTTACCTATCTTCAAACACACTGGGCTATAAAGTGATGAGTTCATACACGTCTCGTGGGTATATACCCAAATCTAGTATGCCGTATATTTTAATAAAAATAAATCGATTTAAACGTAACAATTGAAGAATAGAGAGAATTTGGTTTAAATGTAAGGAAGAGCGCCCACCAAAGTAGCGTGGCAAGTAGCACGTAGCAAGTAGCACGCGTCTAGCATGTTTCTTAAAATGTAACCAATGAAAACGAATGATTAATTTGAATGACGTCACTGTGATTTTGGTGTGCGCTGAATCACTCGTTTTCATTGGTTACATTTTAAGAAACATGCTAGACGCGTGCTACTTGCCACTTGCTACGTGCCACGCCACTTTGGTGGGCGCTCTCACTTAAGGAGAAAGTAAAAGGCGCCACCTTATCTTTTTTAGATGCACAAGGAAAACTTAGAAGAACATAGATTTTAAGGGAAATAATTCATGAGAACCATCAGAAAATACCTTCACACACACTTAATTTATGTGGTAGCTCTAGATGCATGTCAGAATTATCTTCATATTGTTTAAAAGAAAGGAAGATTATGAGGGAGTACTAAATAAATAATTGCTACTGATTAACAACCTTTATTTCTAATATGGTTAAGAAGTTCAGCCAAGTAGAACTAATATAGAACTATCCACACACTTTAACAAAATAGACATAAACCAAGCAAGCACCAACAGTGGCACATAATAGACCAGATCTCATACTAGTCAATAAACTAAAGAGACAAACAATAATACTTGATAACCAACAAAAACAATATTCGTGTTAAACAGAACGAAAAAATCGCCAAGGGATATGGAAATTCAAATATGAAGACATTGGAGAATGCAAAGTACCCAGACAATACCTATTATTCTCTCTACTTCTAGAGTCATTCCAAAGAACCTTCTAGAAAATTTAAAAAAGCTAGGTCTGAATGAACATCTCTACAAGACCATGCAGAAACCTGTACTACTCTCAACGTCCAGATGTATAGGAAAATTTTTGGGAGATACTCCAGCATATCAAGTCACCTAGGGCTCGATAACTTGGAAAGATATCGATAACTCTGGTCCTACCAGCGATCAATCCTTTTGATACCGTAGGTATCTGGGATGAGTGAATTTTCCCCTTAGAGGGAGTGTGAGCCGTATGGCTAAATCTGGTAATTAATAATACATACTAATTTTGTTCTAGAAAGAACAAATTATATTAAATAGGTAAAAATATAAACCAAGAGGTATTCACTTACAAATTTAAAATAATAAAGTACAAAAAGTTTCATCAAATAAGTATTACCAATTTAAGCCAAAATATCACCTTTGTTCGATTACAGTTACAGTGTGTTCCGAACAAACGTTCTTCATTCAAAACGTGTGTATTTCTTTAAGTTAACATTAATAGAAATCTTTAAATATTATTTCTACGCGTATATAATAAAATATGTCTAGTGGCTGTAATGCCATGTACTTGGCAAAGTGATTCTAAAAAAGAACACACCTACCCAAATATTTCGTGTTGGTATTAAGTGACCTTACCAGCTATGACGCGTATGATGTGCAACAGTAAGTAACTTAGATGAAGTAAATAATGTTATTTTGCTTTTTCACCATTAGCAAATATTCTGTTTTGTTTTTGAGTCTGCTTTAGTAGTCTGCTTTAGTACAAATAACGTTAAAAAACTGAAAAGGATTTCTGCTCAACCACCATTTAATATGAATTTAATATGAATCAAAGGTTAAAAAATAATAGAATTTCCTTGATCTGTAAATACGACGCTGGCCTATAATGGGTTATAATAAAACTGATATAATAATTGTTTGTCATACTTATACTCCATTATTGTAGCTATTGAATAAATTGTAAAACATTAAATTTTGCTATAAATAAATAATAAATTAATAAAAATACATTTAATAAATAACAAAAATCATGAAAGGCTCACTTAAAATTAATTATGCAAAACAAGACCAAAATGAAATTGTCCAAACAGGAATCCTATATTAAAGCTATTTATTTTAATAAATAATTATGTCAGATATATATATATATATATATATATATATATATATATATATATATAATATATAATATATAATATATATATATATATATATATATATATATATATATATATATAAATATATATAATTTTCTCCAATAAAAAGACAATTTA